CTGCGGTCGTCCCGAGCGGCTCTCCCCCAGGCCCGGCGCCCCCATTCGGGTTCCAGGGCTCACACCGGCCCAATCCAGGCCCCCCTCCGTTTTCTTCTTTCTTTTTCCGGCCAAAATAGGTTTTTCTTCCCAGTGGTGTCCAGTGGCCTCGGAGCTCCAGAAACGTTCGGGTGAGCTTCTCCCAACATGTAGAAATGGGGCTCTGGAAACGGAGTCCTCGAGAGCTGCCCTCAGGGCTCCAGGGTGCCGGCTTGTGCGTTCCTTTTTAACTTTCTGAAGTGTCTCCTCAAAGTCACTGCCACCCGAGGTGCCATGGCACCCAAGCCATGGGGTGAGTGGAGCATGGCCCTGTCCCACCTGGCGCTGGGAGTGGTGTCTCTGCATGCAGCCCTGAGCACTGCCCAGGTGAGTACACAGGGGCTGGGTAAGGGAGTCTCCCATTCCCGAACCCCAGGGACCTAGCCAGTTCCTTGGGTCAGGAAGAGGGTGGTGAGAGGTGAGTCTGGAGTCCAGGCTTTCATGAGACCCCCTTAGACCCTCCCGTTTAAAGAAAGGTCCTGGCCTCTTTTCCCCACATCTCCCCTCCCTGTGTTGACAGGCAAGTCGAGGGGCTGCTGCTGGCTTCCTGCTCCAGGCCTTGGCTGCTGCCACCATGCTGGCTCCAGGGCTAGGCACAGATGAAGATTGTCTTGCTGGAGCCTGGGTGGCCACTGTCATTGGCCTGCCCCTTCTGGCCTTCGATTTCCACTGGGTGAATGGGGACCGCTCCTCTGCAAACCTGCTCCTGGGCGGAGGCATGGTGCTGGCAGTGGCTGGTGACCACCTTGGTGCGGAGGGCCGCTCTGTGGCTGGTCAGGCAGTGGTGCTGGTGGTGGCAGTTACTATTCTCATTGTGGCTGTTTTCACGACCAACACTTACGGCATGTGGGGGGGCTTGATGCTGGGTGCTGCAGGCCTCCTGGGCCGGCTGGAGGAGGACAGGCTGCTGTTGCTGCCGAAGGAGGACATCTGTCGCTGGGTCCTGGCCGCGGGCAGTTGGGCCTACCACCGGGCCTTGCACACCCAGCGCCTGCAGTGGGAGTGATGCTGGGAGACTGCTGGGCTGGGCTTCTGTCCTGGTTACCACCTCACCTCCTGGGGCCTCCTTCCCTAGAGATAGACTCTCCTTCCTCCCAAAGGGGGCTTGCTGCAGGGTGACTCCTCTGGTGGAGTGTGAGGACCCTCCCAGACCAGCATGAAGGGCATGGGGTCCAAGCACATTTGGGGGTCTGATTCTGAGCAGGCTGTGGTTGTGGATCCAGAGAGGCTTGGTCTCCAATAAACCTTAGGGATTCTGCAGGAATATGGAATCTGCCCATTCTTGAGAGGGATTGAGTTTTCGAAAGCTCCCAGGTCAGCAACCGGATTCCCGGAGTAGGGGAAGGGGATGCACTGAAAGCAGCCTAGGGCCTCGCCCACCCTGCCGCCTGCTGGCACCTGGACTGAGAAGACATAATCCTGGGAGCCCGCCCTCCGGCGACACGGAGGAGTTCTGAACAGCCTGGCAGGTGGGCTTCTGGGCAGTGACCATGTAGGCTGCTGTCGTGGGTGGAGACAAGGGAGGTTTGTACCGCAGCTGTTCCCAGAAACGCACATTCCCTCCCAGCGCTGCCTGGACCTCTACCTGCTTGTCCTCCAGCCTGTGCAAGGCAAGGCCTCACTCTCCTCTGTGGACCCTTCAGCTCCCTACCCCCGGGTTAGGAAACCAGATTGGGCGGCGCAGGGAGTCAGATTCGGGCCTGGAGTGCTTCTTCCGGCGGTCCCCGCGCTGGCGTCCGGTGGACGCACATCTGTTACCGCTCAGGAGGGCGAGGGGTGGCCGCGGGATTTATCCATCCAGTAAGCCAGATCGAGTCACGTAAGCTCGAGGGTTGGGGGACAAAGGCGCGGGCGCACCCTAATGTGAGGCTCCCGGGTGACCAGCGGCGCGAGGGCCGCGCCTTGGACCCACCCGAAGCTCGGCGGGT